CTGGTGCGAGTAAGGTACATCTTATGAAAAAGCTATTCAACTTGTCTATGCTAGAAGGGGTTTCATTTATAACACATCTAAGTGAGTTCAATACAATTGTTGATCAACTTGCGTCTGTCGCTATCACGTTTGATGACGATGTTCAAGCCCTGTTGATTATGTCTCAGTTTCTAGAGAGCTAGCAGGGTACAGTTATTGCAGTTAGTAATTCGGCAGGGAAAGAAAAGTTGAAACTAAGTGAGGTTGTTAGTTTGGTTTTGACTAAGGAGGTCAGAAGAGGTTAGATCGATAGTTCAGATTCACACACTTCGGGACTAGCCCTAAGTTTTGAGCAGCAGAGGGGTAGAATCTCAAGTAAGTATGGTCAAAATCAGAACAGGAACATGTCAAAATCAAAGTGCAAAGGCAAGAGAAGTAAGGCTAAATCTCAAGTTCGGTCCATTAAAGGCGAATGTTGGAATTGTGGTCAGACAGGCCATATGTCACAAACCTGCAAAGCACAGAAGATGAGTAATAATGTGCATGAGGCTCATGTTGTGCACGATGCATTTATTCTTGCTATGAACAGTGACACCGAATCATGGATGATTGATTCTAGTGCTTCATTTTACGCCACTGCTAACAGGGAGGTTCTACATAACTATGTAGCAGGGGACTTTGGAAAAGTATACTTGGGCGATGATAAGCCGTGAAGTATTGTGGGAAGAGGAGATGTTAAGATTGCGACGCATGGGTACACATGATGCCTAAAAGATGTCAAGCATGTTCCAAATTTGAAGAGGAATCTTGTTTCGGTTGTACAGATTGCGGCAGCAGGTTACACATCAACATTCACATGGGACACATGGAGAGTCTACAACGGTACCATGGTGGCGGCTAAAGCCAAGAAAGTTGGTACATTTTACTTGACTTCACATGGTAGCGACACACTTGCAGTTTTAGACAGCAAGGAAAGTTCAATTTTGTGGCACAATATACTATGGCATATGAGTGAGAAGGGAATGAAGGTTATGCATGCAATTGGAAAACTACCAGAGTTAAAGTTAGTGGATATTGATATCTGTGAGGATTGTATCTTCGGAAAGCATAAACGTGGCAGTTTTCAGAAAGGCGGTTCTTACTACTTTGTTACCTTTATCGATGATCATTCGAGAAAGGTATGGGTATACTTCATGAAGCAAAAGTCAGAGGTCTTTGAAGTCTTCAAGAAGTGGAAAGCCATGGTTGAGAATGAAACAGACTTGAAGGTGAAACGGTTGAGGTTTGATAATGGAGGCAAGTATGAGTTGGGGGAGTTCAAGAAATTCTGTGGTTTGAATGGGATCCATCTGGAGAGTACTCCTTCAGGGACTCCACAGCTCAACGTCATTGCAGAGAGGATGAACATGACTTTGACAGAGCGTGCTAGGAGCATGCAGATACACGTAGGTTTGACCAAGATGTTTTGGGCAGATGCAGTAAGTACAACAACATATTTGATCAATCTTGTACCATCAGTTCCGTTAAACTTTGTCATACCTTAGGAGGTTTGTAGTGGTAAAAAAGTAAATCTCTCACATCTATAGATTTTTGGTTGTAATTCTTATGTGCATATTAGCGATCATGATAGGGATAAGCTTGATGCTAAGTCGCAGATGTGCACCTTTATTGGGTACGGCGGAGATGAGTTTGGTTATCGTTTTTGGGATGACAAGAACAGGAAGGTGTGCACCTTTATTGGGTACGGCGGAGATGAGTTTGGTTATCGTTTCTGGGATGACAAGAACAGGAAGGTAATCAGAAGTAGAGACGTTGTGTTCAATGAGAAGGTGATGTACAAGGACAGAAATAGCAAACGGAGTAGTGGGAGTACTGATTTGGATGGAGATACATCTGAGTACTTTGGGCTGGAGGATTTTCCAGATGACAGTGGGTTTGAGCATAGGTTTAGTGAGACAGAGGAGAGAGCTTTATATGAGACAGTTTCAGATGGGTCAACTCTAGAGTCAAGGCCTAGCTCAACAGTCAAAGAACTAAGGAGTATAACCATACCACACAAGCCAAATCCAAAATATATTTCTTCGCTTGATTACTTGCTTTTGACGGACAATGGAGAACTAGAATGCTTTGATGAGGCTTTGAAGGTTCCGGAGTCAGCTAAGTGGAAGACTGCGATGTAGTAAGAGATGGATTATCTTCATTCCAACGGTACTTGACAGTTAGCTCAACACCCCGCTGGGAAGAAAGCCTTGCAAAACAAGTGAGTCTATCGGCTTAAGCAAGAGAGTGATGGCAAGAGGAGGTAAAAGGCAAGATTGATTGTTAAGGGCTTCCAACAGAATGAAGGGGTTGATTATATAGAGATATTTTTGCCAGTTGTGAAGATTGCCAATATCAGAATGGTGCTGTGTTTAGTTGCTGCAGAGAATCTCTACCTTAAGCAGTTAGATGTTAAAACTGCTCTTCTTCACGAGGACTTGGATGAAGAAATCTACATGAAGCAACATGTTGGGTTCATTGTGAAAGGCAAGGAAGAGATGGTATGGAGGCTCAAGAAGAGTCCGTATGGTTTGAAACAGGCTCCCAAACAGTGGTATAGAAAGTTTGATGGCTTCATGTTACGCAGTGGCTACACAAGGTGCAATGGAGATCACTGTTGTTTCTTCAAGAGGTTTGAGACAAGATACATCATTTTATTACTCTACGTAGATGGAATGATATGTTTGTAGCAGATTCCTGTGTTAGAGACATCAACAGGTTGAAGCAACAGTTGGCAACAGAGTTTGCTATGAAAGATCTAGATGCAGCTAAGGAGATATTTGGGATGAGAATCAGCAGGAATATGACCTAGGGGACTTTGAGGTTAAGTTAGGCTCAGTATATTGGACGCGTTCTGGAAAGGTTCAATATGCATGATGCTAAGGCAGTTAGCACACCCCTGGAAAGTCATTTCAAACTTTCTCAGGGGCAATCACCCAAGACAGATGCTGAGAGAGAATACATGGCGAAGGTTCCGTATACCTCAGCCATTGGTAGTCTGATGTATGCCATGGTGAACACAAGGCCAGACATTGCCCATGCAGTGGGAGTTGTGAGCAGGTTTGCTAGCAATCCAGGGAAACATCATTGGAAAGCAGTAAAGTGGATCATGCGATATTTGAGGGGTACAACTGATTTGTCACTTTGTTTTGGGAGAGGGAAGTTGACAGTGAAGGGATTTGTGGATGCAGACTTTGCCGGTGATCAGGATATGCGGCGAAACACCACAGGTTATGTCTATACTATGAGTTCAACAGCGGTGAGTTGGGTCTCACGTCTGCAAAAATTAGTGACACTATCCACGAAAGAATCTGAGTATGTGGCCGTGACTGAGGCGGCAAAGAAGAAGATTTGGATGAAGAGTTTTTTGCAGGAGTTGAGTTCGAAGGAAGAGAACTGAGATCTTTTTGGTGACAGCCATAGTGCTATACACCTTGCCAAAAATCCAGTGTTCCATGCCAGGACGAAACACATTGATTTAAGGCAACATTTCATTCGTTTGCTTTTGGAGGATGGGAATTTGTTGCTAGAGAAGATTTTGGAGGATGAAAATCCCGTAGATATGTTGAACAAGTCTGTTACTATTCAGAAACTGAAGTTGTGTTCGACTTCACTTGGTCTTCATGCTTGAAGAGATAATGGGCCTGGAGCCGCACCAAGAGGAGTCAAGTGACTACATCCACGTTGTTTGAGATTACTTGGGTTTGCAATGCTTTGTTTGTTGATTCTTCGGTTATCTTCAAGTGAGAGATTGTTGGGGTGCAGACAACCTGCAGCGGGGACACGTGTGTTCCAGGTACAAGAGAATGATTAGGATTAGACCCGATTCCTTTCTGTTGCATATACATCAAACAACACTCCTTACTATAATGGATGTTAAGGTAACTTAACATCCATTATAGTTCGCGAAGCGTGAGAGTATTAGGGAGACTCTTTCACTGGAACAGAGAGTGAGTGAGAGGCTCTTTTCACAAAAACAGAGAGTGAATGAGAGAGACAGAGAATAGAAGCAAGAGAAAACGCATCTCTTTGAGATGCGAGAAGACTTTGTATTCTCATATCATTCATAGTGGACTGGTGCTCCCGTGATTTTTTCCTCACGTTTGAGATTTTTCCACGTACATATTGTGTCTCATATTTTCTTTCCGTTTTCATTACGTATCTGCTTGTTATTCGTTTAGTGACTTGTTGTTTCCAAGATCCGTAGGGCACAGCATGGTTGTGAAAACCATAACAACCTGCTCCAGACAAACCAGTGCCTAACGATCAAGAGCAACTAAGAAAAAGATAACAGACTAAAGATTATCAAACGGCCATGCTCAAGCCAACCCTCAGAAACAAGTATATAACACTCCACCAGTCAGAAGTCCATCAAGTCGAAGTCCAAACACAGAAAATTCACGAAGCAGTCCTCACGTACCAAAGCGCAGAAAGAGCACCACACAACCAAGCGGAAAAGAAAAAGGGAACAAAGTGTACTGAGAAGAGATGAAAGAGGGGCCGAACAAAGTGCCAAAGGGGTAGAATTACAACCATGATATGTTCGAACACCAGTCTCACAGTTCAGCCCAGAACCACAAACCGATATTTAGCTAAAACCAACTGTTGGGGAGGTGCATCTTCAAGAAAACTGCAGAATAACCAAGCCTAATGTGGAACCTTGAAGATAAATCTAGGATCGGAAGTACATCATTGTTCTTAACATATAGACAATTTCATTTTATAAAAGTGTTATTCTTTTTCCAAGTCACACATGATTACTCTCTTGCAATAACTCACAACTCGTCAATTTAGTACATTTGGTTTCATCTTAAATTTAGTCGTTTTCATATTATTCGCACCCATCATTGAATATTCTGTAAGTTGGGATGACTGTAATCGGTTGTGCTCGCAAAATAATATCTTATGCTTGATTATCGTCGGACGGTGAAGTAGTGCGATGAACGATTTGAAATTTCGACAATTAGGATCGCCGTGAAATGTCGCCATCCCATTTTCCCGTCATCGGTTTCCTTTCGTACAGAAAAACCGACCGGCCGTAGTTACAATCAACTGAGGCCAAGGCGGGAGAGTGAGTTTCCCGCCAGCATTTCGCGCGATTTTTGGATTCGCTCCGAGTCTCCATGGCTCCTGGGGCTCGAAAGTTGCGGGAGTTCAATGGGAGTCCCTGCGGTCGCCTCGGAGCTGTAAGCAGCGGAGTGGACAGAAGCGCAATTCGAGAGCGATTGCGGAGAGTGGCTGGCTTCCGAACGCGCGTCGGAGTTTTCTTGCTCGAGCGTCTGAGTGTGATTCCTGTTTAGTGAGCCGCATATCTGTCAGCAGAATTGCCGATATCCCTCTTTGGCTAGGAGTCTTTCTGGTCTGTCTCTCGAGAGATAAAACAATGAAAGTACATGATGCAGACTACACTCCTATCCATCACCCTCGGACATGCTCGGTCCAAATGTCGCCTTATGTAGGTGGATTTCAGTGAAGCAAGAAATTCCGAGTACCCTCTGCCGACACTTGGAGGTACTTTGTGCTCTTCCTGGTGAGGTCCGTTTTTCATAATCAAATCATATGTTAGGTGTCTCGCTCCTCAGCGTAATAGATTGAATTGCATCGCACATCAGGTTCCAGAGTGCCTTGGTATCCAAGCAAGGTTTTGTTCAGGCCTTCAATCGGGTAGTATGCATATTGATGAACTGCTGAATGTACCGATTGAGCTCACTGCGTCGTTAACTCAAAAAACTCCCAGCTGAGGCTAGACTTGGTATCGACAAGTTCAATCACAATGTTATTATCGGATGTCGATCCGTCTGGTCTGTCTTACCGTGGGTTAACAAGCAGCCATCGATGCTTACTTGATGACAAGTGAGCCCAAAATATGAACACTCTGGGAAACTCAAAATTTTTTTTGTTGCATCTGTACACAGTAGTTGGTGAGATTAGCGGGCGTGGACGCTGAAAAAGACCATAAGTGGGAGCTATCTCCCGATACTCACCATGAAGCTTCGAAAAGCGCGCGCAGCTGTGAATAATGTGGAGACAGAAGGAACAGCGATCAGGGAGGAAGAGGCTGATGAAGATGATGACAACGCCACTCTACAAGATTGCCTCGACCGGCAGAAGAAGGCAACGGCACGACCCAAGAGGCTTGCCCTTACTCCGCTCGATGACGAGGACAACATCAGCCGAGGCAGAAAGAAGGTGAAGGGCATGAAAGAACTTCTGGCAACAGACTCACCCCGACCTGGAGACGTGCCCTGCTCTCAAACTAAGAGCCCGAGGCCCGCTCTGCCCGTGGCTAGCGCGGTAAGCGGTGACTGCAGTGTCGAGGGAGGCAAAAAACGGAGGTTGAAAAAGAAGCGTCGCCGTGATTTAGATGTTGGCAAAGGTATGGGCGAGGTGGTGCAGAGTCCAGAGGTTGGGAGCGTTCCCGTGAGCGAGGGACATGCTACAACTGAATCAATTGGACTTCTGATCGTCGTACCAAAGGAAGAATTGGTTGAAGAGCAAGCACTCTTCTTTGTAAGTGCAGATGAGCTACCTCCCGGAGGAAGTCACTCTGATCTGGGAAGTCCTGAAGCCGATCAACCATGTAGAGGCCGAGGAAGGTGTGATGGAGTTCAAACTTGTCCCTTGACTCCTGAAGTTTCTGACTGCCATACGCAGCTTTCGGAAGAAATTTTTCTTCCCGTCGATGGCTACCACACCTGTGGGGACGCCGAAAGTTGCCACATCGCCTGCCTTGAGAAAGTTCTCAACCACTTGGACAAGATGTCCGATGAGCAGCTGAAGCTGTGGTACAAGGCCGTCATTGGAGAGGTATTTGCCAGCAGAAATGGAGAGAAGGTGAGAGGTAGGCTGAGGAGAATGATAAGATGCAAGGTCAAGGAAGCCATAAGGACCCAGGGTTCCGCTGATGAGGAGCCGTGGAGTTCGCCTGTAACGCAAGCAAGTGGAGCTCTTTCTTCACCGGAATCCATTCTCGTTTCTGGTTCTCAAACCGAGAGCCCTGGTAGCAAGTTGTCTACATCAAATGCAGACGAGAGAAGTGGGCAGGCAGAGGAAGCCGTTTGTTCAGGAAAGACGTTTTCCAAAAAGCCACTCCTATACGACTCTCCAGAATCAAGCGGGGGACTGACCTTTCAGGTGCCATCTCACATCAAATCAACAAACGAAGCGTTAGCGACTCCCTTCGGAGATGAACCCGAGATAGTTGTCCCAGCGGTTCAATTCCTCGTCACCCCCCGCATAACCCGAAGTAAGGCTAAAGTCATGGAGAAGAGTGCTCAGGACGATGGCCAGGGTCTGCATTGTAGCCGGGACTTGTGTCAGTCAAGCTCAGGCAAACTTTCCGTCACTATCTCCAAAGATTCTGATGTGGTTCCTCCTGTTCCTTCATGTCCTGAATTGACAAATCCCATTTCACAGTGTCCACCTGCAGGGGTTGCTGCTGAAAGAAGAACTCGACCTCGTAAGAACTTAGCTGTCGAGATGGTCCCTCGAGAATTGTATTCCTCGAATGTGGTCGAAGACGGTGATCTCCGCCATGTCAAGCCTAGTAGAGCAACTGAGGAGCTCACTTGCCAGTCTGGAGAAAATGAAGAGCAATACGAGCCCTCTCAGTCAGATGTGGTTAAGTTTCTGAGCGAAAGCATGTCTAAATCTGACCTTAGCGAAATCACCTCTCTGGAAGCTCCATCGTCATCCGGATGTGACGCTCGGTCATGTGAGGGAGAATCAATGGTGACTGCCCACGGGGTGACAGCAGCCGAAACCTTGAAATCGTCACTTGTCTCCTTCGACTCTCATTCAGCTACGCGAACGGATGCTGACAGTGGAAGGATAGTTGAAGATTACACGAAGATCGAAGGAAACCAAGCGAAACGTCCACTTGATCCTCAAGGAGACCCTGCCACGAAGGTGTGCAAATTAGTTGAGGTGACTGAAGGAGGATTCAATGAGAACGGGGATTTGGGCTCTAAAATTGATGTCGAAGAGTGCACTAGCAATTTATGTTCAATGGTTCGCGCGCACTGTGACGAGGCGCCCCTGTCGGAGGTGGAAGAAGTAAGTGAAATCTGCTCCGCCAAGTCAAGTGTGGGTTTCAGTCGTTGTGACGTTGACGACGAGATGTTCCCTACTCCGTACCAGGCCACGGAGTGCAGTGAGAAAATATCTCTTCAAGAACCTCGTGCTTCTGGAGCGGCGGCTCCAGAAGCACGAGGCACCGAGTCAAGCAGTAGTTGTGCTGTCCACCCTGCAAGTTCAAGCACGTCCAGCTTGCATACCGTCTTAGGCTGTGCATTGAATACGGAATGTCGAGATTTCTGCCTAGAAAATGACGAGTTTCCATCTCAGGAAGGAAGTACAAGTTTCTTTTCAAGGGTAAGTTTTCTCGCAGCAGACTGTGTATCTTCTGTGCAGGCCTTGCGCAGCAGCCATAGTGGAGATTTTGCCGAGACTGCCGAGGGACTGTGTCCCGAGGAGGAGCTCCATTGTCATGTAATCTTCAAATCAGAGGATGAAGAACCGTGTTATAAGACAGGAAACGAACAACTGTCGGAACAATTGCGTCTCAACTACGTTTCCGTAGAAAAATTAGCCCTTGAGACTGGAAGCGTACAATCGGAAGAAGTGTGCCAGGAGAAAGAGTCTTGCGTAAGTGAAGCTTTTGAGACTGGAAGCGAGCAAATGTTTGAACAAGTGAGCGCGGAGAAGGTTTCAACTATCTGGCCAGCGCAAGGAGCTAAGGAGAGTACGTTTCTTTCCACAGAGAAGCATGATGTGGAGGGAATCTCCGAAAGGAACATGCTGTCTGCGTTTGAAAATACGGTCAAGTGGCAGATGCTGAAGTGGGATTCCGGACGGTCAATTGAAAAAGCGGAAGCTGCTGGGACGATGGGAACCGTCTCTCTTCCCAAATTGTGGAAGGATGCCGGTGATTATCTGCAGGACTTGGATGATGCGTATATGCTTGTTGACGTAGGAGGAAATTTTTCATCACATCGTCTCCGCAGGAGGAAACTTTGTGATTTTGTGGACTGTGGAAAATCGTCAAATGCTGTCCACTGTTGTGGTGGCGCCTCGCGTACTAGACAAAGAGTGGAATTCAAGTCAGAAGAGGATTTAGGAATCACCAAGGAGCCTTCACCGGAAGTAAACGACTCGAAACACTTCAAGGATTCTGATCAAGTGGAGGAAACTAACGAACCATCGATGTTAATAGGTTGCCAATCGATTGAAGATGCCGAGACATCCGAAATGTGTGAGGAAGTCGAGGATCCGTTAAGTTCTCATTATCATCAGCAGCTTTGGATAGACGACAGGCGAAATGATGGATCAACCCTTGATGACTATCCAATTATGGAGAAAGAATTGGCTTCTCAGGACGAATGTTCTGAAACCTTTAGAACAAAATTCTGCATGTCACCTCCTCCCTGCTTGAGCGATTCTTTCCTCCTCGAACCACCTCTTTGCGATTCACCCGCATCAACATCGGAAGAAGATGGAAGTCCAGATTCAGTGGGGAAGTCGGATGCTTCATTGGACCTTCTGGCATGCGAGCGGTTGACTCAAGAAAGCGACTTGGAAGCCTACGGGGAGTCTTCTGAGCTTCTGGCGTCGAGGAAGGTAGATTATACATAGTTTTGATTGGGACCTTGTCGCTTGCTTTCTGTTACTGCTTAGACTGGGAATATCAGCCAAACAGGTTTTAAACTCTAGTGCCCTTGTCTGATCAAATTGATTTCAGATCGAGTCTCTCAGAGAAGTTGAAAGTGACGAGTCTCCACCACCGTGTCTACCTCCAATTCGGCTTAAGTTACCGTCTGGTCGAGCAAGTAACTTTCGAAACTCACTATCAGATTTGTTTTGTGTCCCCAACATTTCTCTTGTAGAATACATCAGAGGAACATGGAATTCTCCCGTGTTGTTTGTTCCCCAGAAACTCGCAAAGCGAAACAAGAACATATTCCTCGTGCAATACCTAGACATTGCGTGCGGTTCGGGTCCTGCATTATTCACCCTCACAGTCTTTGAAGCATAGTATCAAGCGTGAACGATATGGCAGAAAATTTTGTGAAGCACTGCCATGCGCAAACAGCTCTCCATGTTTGTTCCAACGTATTGTCATTTTTTGTAGTTCAGTGTCCATGCTCTGCGCTGCGTAGCAATATAATTGGTCATGAGACCTGCTCTTTGTTCATGTCTTCTTTGCCCTGCGGGACCTAACCACAGTGTCGTTTGCAGGACTTCTTGCCACTGCTCTTAGTGAATCCAAGCTGAAATCAGGTCGAGACTGGAGATACTCAGAGGCTAGGGATTTGGACCAGAAGCAGAGAGCTGTCACAGCCACTTCTTTGTCTCCAAATTCTTCTGATGAAGAAACAGGTGACAGCATACAGGAGCGTGAAAACATATTCGAGAGTGCCACCAATGATGAGCGATCGAGTCAAGAGTTGTCGGTCCTTTCATCTCCATCCTCACTACCACTCAGTGCTAGTAACTCACAGGAGGACAACTCCAGCCCGGAAGATCGCTTACCGCCTCCATCAAGAAGCCGAAGCTCGAAAGGAATCCTGAAGACAACTTCAAAATGCAAGGATTGTGTAGAACTGCGATCCCAGGCTAGGACTGCGTCGGATTTTGTAGCTAGTCAGATGAAAACTTTTGGGGAAGTTGCCGGCCGTCTCACCAAAGAAATACAAGACTTACGTTCAATTCTCGAACTTGATCTCTCAAATGCTGACGGACCACAGGAAGGAGTCATGCACGATAAGGTATGCTGTGCTTTCCCAGTATTTTTCATTATCAAACTCACGCCACAAGTGGAACCAGTCTGCGTGCTTTAGCGGCCGGATGAGTATGCCATGAAATGTGTAGTCACGAACATCCGCACAAGCCCATTACAGCATGGAGCTGAGTTAGGGTCACAACTAAAGATTATTTCTTGATTCTCAACGTTTACGACCTGGTTGAGCTTGAGTACATGTTTCTTGAGGGTCGTATTACGTTCAAATTCCACAAAGTTCTGCTTCTCTTCGATCTCTCTACCAAGCTCATTCATCTCAACCCCGTTCGCTTCCACCGTCGATTCATACGCAGGTTCAAGCGATCTCCAAGTCTAGAGATATCGAGCGATCTGCGGAGAAGAATCTAAGTTTGCTGCTCCGTGACTGCAAAAGATTCTGCAAACTAACCGTAAGTTTCTTGAGCTAGTTGTAACAATTTCCTGTGACTTCATGCTTTATTGGCCGCCCAAGACGTTTCCAAATTTTCTTCTCGTTAGCCAGCAGTTCTGCAAGTATCTGGAATCGTCCTGTTGTAAGCCACGTGTATACTTCTGAACATCTAAGATCATGCAACTTACTGAATACATGCTGCGCAATTTTCAGGCAAAACGTCCTCGCAGAATAGTATTTGCGGACGAAGCAGGCAAGAAGCTGTGCCACGTGAAAACCTTCCAGGTCCCCCCAGCTCTTGCCAGGCCACTCTGGGATATTCTGTAGAGAAGATAATGACATCTCTGTAATACAAACCGGGATAAATATCGGTCCCTTTCTAGACAGGAAATATTGTATGCATAAGAAAGCCAAATTAGATATTGCAGTGAGGATCGAGGACGCCCCTAGAGTGCAGAGTTGTAGTATTTGCTGGATTGAAGCCTTTTTGTATCTTAGACAAAAAATGTGACCCCGGAATTCTCTCCCAATTGTGATTATTGTCCTCGATTTCTGGGTTAGCTGTGTTCACTTTGATTCACAAACTCTCTAGGGAAGCCTAGATGTAAATATGGTACATGAGCTAATCATGGTGTTCGTTACCCTTGCGATGGACATGTAACAGAAGGGTTGTTTGCATATTAAGGATTTGACTGTTTCTTAGTGCCTTTCGGGGATTGCAATGGCAGATTTTAGAAAGTACCTTTTTGGACTCACGCCGTCCATGTCCGTAAACATTACCTTCATGACAACAATCACAGTAGTTTGTGAACTGCCGACTGTTCATTCCGGATACCCTGGGTTGGGGATCAACATAGTTGAGAATAGCCACATGCTGGCTTATGACGTCTTCCATGTACTCTTGAAGTGGTGCTAATGCTGCTTCTATGAATAGGGAACAAGAGTGGTTCTGAAGATATAGGCAAATCTATAGGTTGTGTCACCAAGGAGCGAAAGTACGCACATAGTTTTCGCAAGAGACAAAATAGATCAGCTTTAATCTGAGCAGGCGATGAAAGATTTTGATAGACTTCTTGAGACTTGATGTAGAGGAGGAAAGTAAATATAAATGCTAAAAACTTTCACCTGCATTAAGTTAATTCACGTTTCTTCATATGACCAGCAAACAAACTGGGAGGAGGGCACGTTTTACGTGGTTGGATGACTGAGAAATTTAAAATCTGGAGCAACTTTGTATTGTAGATTAAGCGTCTCTTTGTGATCGTGAGTAAATCTGGCCCAGGCATAGGCGTGCACGTTACAACATCTGAATGCCACGTCACAAGGCACAACCATCGAGATGGGAGGTGACGACAGTAAACCCACTTTGAACGTAGAGAATGAGAGCGCTGACGACAGTCAATCTCACCGGCACCCAATATGCTTTCCATACTTGCTGCATGTGAAGTAGCCATAGAAATTTTGAAGGCAGTTTACGAAGGTGAAAAGCATTTTTAAGTATCTTGCTGCAGGCCAGCTCATTCCAGTTTGAGGCAAAGCACATCCGCTTACATGTTTACGCGTCAAGTCAAGGACAGCAGACCCCAACATTGAGTGCCCATGCCCAAACCCACCCATGCCCATGGGTTTTGGTGACTTTTTTTTTTCCATGGGTGGACACAAGTAATGCTACGGGCAGCGTTTTTCAAGATCCAACCAAGAATTGGTGTTAGCGGATAATACACATAACACAATTCGCGTTACTTGAATAGCATGGGTGGGCTTAGGTCGCTGCTGATGGTTAGGGTCTCGTCTGGTTGCAGAGTTGTTGTAAGTAAAATGTTGGCCTCTGAAGGACAGTAAATAAACTAGTAATTTCGATCGAGCCTCGATCAATAAAGATCGTGCTAAAACAGTTTATCAACAGGCTACCAGAAAGTATTAATCTATTAGAATTCTTCATTTCAGCAAAGATGGACGTTTTCTTGTGGAGCTAAGCGGCGTCTTCGTTGAAAGTACGAGAAATGCTGACCTTGGTGGTACTTGCGACGATTCAATAGTGAATGAAAGCTTGCAATGATGTCTGGCAATTACATTACGTGCGGTGGCAAGGGCCGTCGCGCCAAGAAATGCCCATCTCCGGAGTCTTGGTTGAAAGTGCGAGAAATGTTGACCTTGGTGGTACTTGCGACGATTCAATAGTGAATGAAAGCTTTCAATGATGTCTGGCAATTACATTACGTGCGGTGGCAAGGGCCGTCGCGCCAAGAAATGCCCATCTCCAACACCTCGTCCTCTACCACACAAGAAGAAAACCGTAGTTTGCTCGAGGAAATAAGTTGAAAGACTACCTTCAAAGAACATTTCCTTGGAACCTCGTTAAAATATGGATTCCTTAACTGAAACTCTTCAGTTTTAGAGTTGAAGTTCCATCATCGCGAATGGGTCCAAGCGCAGTTACAGCAGTTATTAGAAAGATTAGTAATTACCATACTAGCCAAAAGTCTAACTACAATCAGGAAACCGAGAATACAGAGTACCACAAGGATAAAAAGATTCAGTCAATCAATCAGTCAATAAGGACAGAGCCGTCACCTCTTGTGACGTCTGACTGATGGAGCAGCGGATCTTCCAAGCATGGTGATGTAAGAGATTGGATGAGGTAGGTGTAATTCTTGCTCTACTCTTGGTGATCAGTACGTTAGAACAGCATCTGCGGGTCAAACATGGCTCATTTTATACTTGAAGGTATACTCGAGTTCGTCAATCTTGATACTTTTCCTTCGTTGACAATGATATAATGCTAATGTCAACAGGAATTAAAAAGCTAGCTTGTTGTAACATCAGAAGTGTCCATAAGTTGTAGGGGTGGACACTAAAAAATAAAATGCAAGTAAAGATGTGCATGGGAGTGGAAAGACATAAAAAGATGTGCGTGGGAGTGCATGGAAGTCTTTCGGCTCCCATGCACATCTAAAATATAATATAAATTTAATATAATATAAAAAAGTCTTTCATTCATACATGATTTTTTAATAGTATATTGTAATTGGAATGTTTTAGATTATCATTAATATGATAGAAAAAAAATTCAATAAATAATCATAACAAATGCTCAATAGCAAGATGATCAGTTCGAAGATTGGGGAGTTCATTTCTAGGCTGTAAATATTCAGATATAAAGGTGGGCTTACTTATGGGAAGCGCACCCACCGGTAATTTAAGATAAGAATGATATCCATGCAATATTATTAAATCCAAACATGTTATTCCATACAAATCTATTTCATGTATGAGTTTGTGTTCATCAAGTCAAATTAATTATCGGTTATCAAATTATTACAAATAAAAATCTATACCTCAGCTTTTGTTCACTTGTGTGATGCATGATATAAAAAAAAATCACAAGTACCTCATAAAATATTATAGAAACCTGATATTAAAATTTTCCGCATGCATTCAGTTCATGTTTCATTTACTGTTGAGAATTTTGTAGGATCAAAAGATGCAGACATGATTATACTGGGACCTTGCTTGATGATATGAGACCATCAATTTTGCATGTGCATATGACAAGATAACATCGTTTTTTCATTTGTAGAATAATACCACAACTTCGGTCTTTTTACTGAACATAGCAACAAGTTTATTTCTGACCTTTGATTCTTGGTAGACTCAGTTTTAATATAAGCTATCACTTTCTTATTTATTGTAGATACAATCCATGTTCGTTTTTTTTTTCGGTTTTTGATTGATGTAACAAAAAAATGATTGGCACTTTATCTTGAATTTATTTGACATAACCTAGCATTTTTTAACAATTCAAGAGAATAATTGTTTGGATCTTACTAGCTTAGTGAGAACACATGCTAGTAAGATATACAAAAACGTTGGTGTATGGCTGGTTGCAATTTACAAGAGGAGTGATTGTTTAGTTATTTATAAAGACTGGATTTTCAAATATCATGAAATATTTCTTTACATCAAAAGTCATATATCATACGAGATGCACATATATTCACGTCTATAAACATAAATAAACTCAAATGAGTAATTATCATGGCTTATGATGTTCATTATAAATCAAAAAAGAAAAATTCTGACTCTAAAAATTGCTCAATCTATTTATCAATAATATAATAAAACTGTTTTATCATATAATATATTTAAATATGTCAACAATCAACACATCAAAATTAAATTTTTTTACAGAAATTATTTTGATTACTAATAGTAAGTATCAGTATCTTAGATTAAGATACTGATTGCAAACAAACAAATGTCACTCTGATTAAAGCCTTGTCTAAGAAGATTGTTGTGATACCACCTTTGTTCAACTTGTCATTATTTTAACTTTCCTTAGTCTTCATATTGCTATCTAGGTTTCCATACAAAGATGTAAAGTTAACATCTATGGAAAAAATCTTATCAACGGGAGATCTTAGTTGATATCTGTATGTGATATTATTCTTGACAAGTAAATATCTGTAAATATCATCTTTGATATAGATTAGAAATACTAGAATTCGTGAAGTTTACTTTTTATTCAGAGTCACACCTCACATATTATCATTAATAGATGTTACCCTCGTACATCACCTCCTCGAAGATATCCTCATGCCGTTGACTCACTCCGAAATATCAACGCTATAGGATTTATCACGCCTACCAACACCAGTGATAATATTCAAATTCAACTTGGCTATTGCCTTCGAACTTCTCCCAAATAGTACCTTTTGGTTTCCATATTTTGAGTAGAGACGGTCACAGATCTGAAATCTTATATTTTAGCAACACTTGTGCGGAATCATGGGTCTCCACTAAGGACTTTTTATTATACAATTAGTTAAGGTACGGGTTGGGAGTGCTGTCTAATACAGTGGAATGCTACGTACACAATTATACAAACACACCTATAGTCACAACTCCCCAGCTTGTGGTAGGGAAGTTTCTTGGGAAGATGAGCCGATCCACGTGGCAGCGATGAGCCGAGTAAGTGGCTGAGAGTGTGGCTGCTGTCCAACAACGTCGCGGTGCAGGAACCAAGTCAGCGCTATCAGGAGGCCGAGGCAGAGCTAAGATTCTCGTGAGATAGTAAACGCAGAACAGTACTGTAGTCGATCGATGGTGACGAGGACAAAAGTGCCGGATGCGGACCTCAGATCTTCGATTGCGTACCAAGTGCCAAAAGCCGTACGGCAGATGAATGATTGGACCGTAAAGCCTGCGACCACTTCTCTGAGAAGAAACTCGCCCAGCGAGAACGCTTGCATCGTCGGCAGACGCTCACACCAAACTCCGGAACAGTCGAGGTCGAGAACAGAGTCGAGGTCGACAATGTCGTCGAAGACATTGACAGTGTGATTATCAATGATAAATGCTTCTTGAATGGCGTGTTAACTAAAGGGCATCGTGCAAATTCACACAATGTCTAGATATTTGCATCACTTTTAAAGGAAAATGTAATTAAAAAAATTATAAAAAATTCTTCCCATGATATTAATTGTTGACAAACAGAAAAAGCTTCAAATATAAATTAAAACACTATTTAGATGAAAAATTTAAAAGCTTTATTTTAATTATTTGAACATAGATGTAATTTCAAATTTACACTTGAAAGAGTTACATTCATTTGAATATTTTCAAATGTCCAAAATAAGATTACTTAAATTAAAAACTTGAAATTCTAACTTTGCTTAAATTTGACTATCTTTTTTTTTGGATAAATTTTCAAAATGTGTGGACTTTTATAAAAAAAAATATTAACTTGACCTATAGAATTAAAATCTTTTTCTGAAATTTTTTTTTTTTTTTTACATTAACAAAGTAAAAATCTATCTTATAAAATGAACTTTAAATATTTTACATTTGAAATTATAATTTGAATTAAGATAGAATTCATATTTTTGATTTAGTTCATATTAATGTCATTTTGCATTCCATCATAACTCTTTGTAAATGTAACAAGAAAAATTGATTATGACATTAATCTTTCAATGATATACAATAATTATACTAACACAATGATGGTTTTGACTTACAATAAATGAACAAGCAAAAAATGTGCAAAATTGAAT